CTCTAGGGTCATGACCTATGCCCTAAGCCAAAAGCAGACACTTAGCCAACTGAGCCACCCAGGTGACCCAAGAGTTGTTATTTTTTGAATCACAACTTGTTTGAATCTAAGGAACTCATACCAATAGTTCTATCCCACTCTTTTAACTAGTTGTCATAGTGTGACAAATGAGTCATTTATTATTTCAACAAAGGCTTCTGAATTTAAGGGCTTTGTATTTTATTTTTGAAATTAAAAAGCCACAAAGGGATTGTTATTCATTCATTCATTGGATAAAATAGGCAAATTTCAAGAACTGCTAGTATCTTACTTCCACACTAGAAATTGCTACTCATTTTTCTAAACACTCAAAGATGTTGTCCTCATTAGATTTAATTAGAAGCATGAGCTATTGTCTCCTGTCCACTATGAACTATTTAAGTGCTTTTATATAAATGATCACTCCAACATTTGCAGAACCCTTAAAAAATTCATCTTTAGAAAAAAATGGTATGACCAGTGCTCATCTAGTCACTACGGATGAGACAGAACAATTGGAACTATATATATACACTTATAATGTCAGATATCTTCTCTTCATTCAATATTTTTGTTGACTACCTTCAAAATATACATATGTATATTTCACTTCACTTCAAAATATACATATGAATATGTATATATATATGTGTATATATATATATGTATATATATGTATAAACATATATATATGGTTTTTTAAGAGAGGGAGTGTGCACGAACAGGGGGAGGAGTAGAGGGAGACAGGGAGAGAGAGAAACTTAAGCAGGCTCCACACCCATCATGAATGTAGCTCTGATGTAGAGCTCCATCACGACCCTGAGATCATGACCTGAGCCAAAATCAAGAGTCAGATGCTTAACTGACTGAGCCACTCAAGTTCCCCTGGAAACAATATTTTGAAGTGACTGAAACAGAGAGTGCTTAGCAGGCATTCGACAAAATATTTATTGAATAAAGAGAAGACGTCTGACATTTTAAGCAAATGAATGGGTGTTCAAAGTTCCTTGTAAAGTTCTCGAAGGGCCAAGAGATAGTTAGGTTTCAGACTTTTGCTAGGCTCACTTAATACCAGGGGTTTCCAATGACACTGTAACCAGTATCATTCCTTCTTTCTTTGACTCATTCATTTATTCTTTGATTTATTCAGCCAATATTACTGAACAGCTCCTTTTTTGCCATGCTGTGTACTAAACATTTGTGACTTAGACTTGGGATGAAGGTCTTACATTTTGGTAAAAGTTCACTGTGCTTTATCACTCTTCGGTCTTTTAAATCGTGAATAGTAGAAAAGAGCAGCAATGCGGTGTGACAGATTTTAGAGACATAAACTGAGTTCCCACCGTGGCCTTTACAATTAGAAGTTCTGTGCCTTATACAAAGCACTTAAGAATTAGCTATAATGTTTATAAAATTTCTAATCTAAGACTTGGCAAGTAAGAATATAAGACCTCAAGCAAAATGTAATTATTTTATAAAATGGTAGGCTTGGTGGCAGGAAGGAAGGAGACCCCCAGGACTCCCTCCCCCCCTTCCTTTATTTATTTACTTATTTATTTTAGATTTTATTTATTTGACAGAGAGAGAGAGAGAGAGAGAGAGAGCACAAGCAGGAGGAGTTAGCATGCAGGCACGCAGAGTGAGAGGGAGAAGCAGGCTCCCTGCTGAGCAAGGAGACTGATGCAAGACTCTCTCCCAGGACCTGGGATCATGACCTGAGCTGAAGGCAGATGCTTAACCACCTGAGCCACCCAGGTGCCCCTAAAATGGTAGCCTTGGAATACCTTTTAGTTCCACATAAAAGATATTTGACATTACTGAACATTTTAAAAACTCAAGAAAAATCTTAAATATATCCTGCAGTAATTTGGGGGATAACTTATAGCAAACATGAAAACTTTTTGTTTGCCTGCAATAGTCTTTTTGCTACAGAAAAAAATACATAATAGAAACAAGAATAATATACATGACAAATGTAGGCTGGTAAAATAAGCAGCCTCCTTATATCCCCCTATAGCTTCACAGAGAGAGGCTTTCCCTTCAAAGATACTTATCCCAGTCCAGAAACAATTAAAAATTAAGAAAAAAGAAAAGGCACCATTTACTTTTCCCACCATCTCCATATTATACACACACAAAAGATGCCAAAAAGATCTCCAGTTTTAATACTGGTAAACAAGGTAACTACATGATATTACAAAGCATATGCTTATAAGGTAATACTACATCAAAAATTATATTGGAGTATATTTCACTAAAGCCCCAGATTAGAAAGGAATTTATATATTCCCATTCTTTGCCAACAAAAGTTTATGGAATATGATCTCTATTCCTGCCAGGCAATCCCACCCTTATGCTCTTAAGCCAAGAGAGCAAGATCATTTCATGACTAAATGCTTTTCACAGTCTATTCTCTCTTTCTATTATGAGTACCCCCCCACTCCAATTCCTTTACCCCTTGGAAACCCCCACTCATCCTTGAAAGTACAGTCTGAACAATACTTCCTGAAACCTTTCAGGAAGAGTTCATCATTTTATCCTCTCTATGTCTAATCATACCCATTTTCTAGAACAGTGAGTATCACTTCTTTTATGATTCTTGAGAGCAAGTCAGCTCAAAATTCCAAGTGCTTATCACTGTGCCTGGAATACAATCTGTTGTATGAATCTTTTTGAGTGGATGACTTACTTTCTTGATTCCTCTATGAGAAGCTCCCAAGTACTTCTAGTCATACAAGTTAAACAGCAAACACAGTATAGTTCAAAATTAATTATTATGGTTTAAATCTGGTTCTTAAATAACTATGAACATTAAAAGATGCAGTTTTACATTTCTGTAGTCTAGCTAAATAATATTGCCTCCTCTAAGCTTAGAAATGGTGACTGTACTGGAAACTATAGAAAAGTTTGCTAATATAAAGTGTCCACATTCAGGCAAAAGGATGGTACCAATCTTGAGGATATTAAGTCACTTTCAGGAGCCCTGATTCACTTAATTTTCATTCAAGAAACAATAACATATACTTAATATATGTTAATACGTTACAATATATGTTATATATGTTATAATATGTTATATGTTAATATATACTTTATTATAATTAATATTAATACTTATTTAATTATTTAATAAAATTGTTGTGTTCAAAGGGGTTCTTTGTAAACATTCTTACCCATCATTCACTTTGTGATGTGAGAACAAGTAGTACAAAATATAAATTCTCCTTCCCTGCTGGGTATGCATAATTCATTTTTAAGTAAAGCCATAGTACCCCAAATAGTATTATGATAATAAAAACTAAGAATTCTGTATTATAGATCAGTGGTATATAATCATTTGTTATAGGAAGATTGAGAACTTAATGTTTCATGCAAGTAATCAAGTTAATTTGGTAAACAAATAAATTCATATGTGATATAATATTAAAGTCTATTATCCCATTAGAGTTCCTCTAAGATACGAATAACATTTAAGTTGCAAATATAGGTAAACAGAATTTATAATAATGAAACTCTCTTAATAATATTTATTATTTATTATTATTTATTATTATTATTTCTTAATAATAATGAAAGTCTCTTAATGCAGTTTTTTTTAGTTTTATTGTAAATTAACCTAAAATATCTTTACAGACAACACAAGGACAAGTCTTTAAGTAAAGTTATTTCAGCTATTTTTTCTATAGTGTATATATTGAATATAAATATATATATTTTCAAAGTAAAAATCTAGAATGTGTGTAGAGTTTTCCTTAATATCCCAAAACCAAACCAAATATATTTACTTTCAACGTATTTTCTTGAAAAAAGCGATTTTCTATCATTTTTCCTAGGCCTGTTTTCAAATGAAAAATGACTCTCAAATGAGAAATTTAAGTATGCATTATATATAGGACAGCAGAAACTCACCCACACTTCACTTACTGAAAAATCTCCCTATTATTTCCTTACATTTCAAATGTATTGGCAATAGGATATTCCCCCTTGGGAACTTGTAAATGATAAATTTAAAAATAATGTTTTTAAGGTTTCTTATGTAGTTGTTTGTTTTTGCTTTCAACTAAACAAAACACCCCAAAATCATGCATTACCAATGGGTTAAAATATCCTAAAATCTTGCAAGTGGGTACGTATTAACACAATCTGATATTTCTCTGTAAAACAGTCCTTTCCAAGGACTGAAAATATTTTTTTAACTCTAGACAATAAAATATGCCTTTTTCTAAAAACAAATTCAATATTCAAAAAGAAAGCTTTTGATTTGTTGCATTTCTTGCTTAATTTTAAAAGTTCTTTGTTTAGAAGGACCAAGTAGCAAAATACACTATATATATAAATATACATTTAAATTACTCCCTGCATTTTGTACAGAAACTGAAAACAACTAATTAATCAGTTGATGTTTAATGTGAGAGGTAAAATATTTTATGAAAGAGAAAAATCACTTGCTCTACCATGAAATGAGATGCCTAAGCTAACATTCCAAAAGTGAGCTAGCTCTGCAGAACCAAGAATATTGAGTGGTGCTATGTGAAAAATGAAATCTGTAGTCCAGTGAAGTTTGGGAAATGCCTGTTCAACAAAGTTATGTGGGTAATGAAGGCCTTATCAGAGCATCTAATACGCTAATGTCCATTCTAAATGACAATATTGCTAGAATAGGCACAAGTTTCCAGAATTACTTAATAAATTTTTTTTCCCTTCTCTTTTTGGCAGAGAGGGTGTAGCATGCCTGGGCCATTGGCCAATATACCTGTACAACTACAAGTAGGCCTTGATGTACCTTTTTTCTTACACATATTCTTTATGTGCTTTGGAGCTATATTCAGGTCCCAAAACAAAATGTTTTTTTGAACATTTAATGGAATGGCTCCTTTAGCCACTTTCCCTTGTTTAAAACTTACATTTCTCTTTTACATTTGGTGTCATTTCAATGGACATTTCTTTTCTAATTTGCTAGTTTCAGAAAAAGAAGTACCAACCTGAATGCTTCAAGGTACTCTACATCTCCCATGGGGGGATCAAGGCCACCTGTCCAGGCAATATTTATATTGTATCCTTCCCCAAGCCCTGTTCCAACCTAGGAAGAAAAAACAAAAACAAAAACAAAAACCAAACAAAAACAAAAACCAAACAAACAGAAAGCCCCACAACACAGTGGGTAGAGGAGGGTGCAGGGAAGAAAGCAAAAAGAGAGGAAAACAAACACATGTGAGCTCTTGAAATAAACATCAAACAACATGTCAAATCAGCCCAACCTTGCTTGACAACCAGTGCTCTGGGTTATGCACTTGTTCTGCACTGGTTCTTGGTCCCATGGGACAATTCAGTAATCTCGTGTAATTTAAAACACCAGCAAAGGACAAGAAAATTAGGGGTAATCATGCAATGCAATTACCTGAAAGATAAAAATAAAAGTGGGGCTCTAAAGAAATAAACCGAACCTCATTTGGGGCTCCGCTGCCAGGGAAAAAGTTCCCTTCATCATAGCGATGGAGTGAAATATACAGGATGCTGGGGTCAGCGTAAAAGGCCTGCTGTGTACCATTTCCATGGTGAACATCCTACAAGGAAAAGAAAACAGATGACAAATACAGTCATGTTAACTGCGTGGAGACAACTTTTCTTATTTCTAGTTCCCCTTCTACCCCACCCTCCTTCTCATTTTCTGTCTTCTCACTATGTCCCTCCTTCTTTCTCCTGTTCAGCTTGCTTCCACACCACCCCCTTTACTTCCTGAACTTTCAGGCAAATTACCCTTTAATGCACTCATTTTTTAAACTGGCTTCTAAAAATCAGGAAACCACAGCGAACATGCCCTGGAGACTCCAGATGAGCAGTCACTGAGAAAGCCCAGTCCTTTGGTACAATTAGATATTTATACACCGGCCCTTTGTACTCTTTGCTTCAGTGATGGAATCTCGCATCCTGTTTTATGGAGGAATTTTATGACTTATTAACTGCCAACAGTTCATAACCCCTCAGGCTTAATTAACTAGCCTCATTGGCCTCTGAAGAAAGACTAATGTTTAAACTACAAACTAGTATTCTGCAGAAGGATCTATGGCTTACAGAGCATTTTCACAATTCTTGACAGAACACTAAACATACATGTATGCATTGATTTGCCAAGTCCCACCATTAAGGTCAAAGGCTTTGCAACCAGCTGAGTAAATTGGCCTTCTTGGAGCATTCAGTTCAGTTAGCAATCCCTCAGCAGTTAGAATTACTTCAAAAGAGACGCCAGATGCAAAAAGGAATTCATACTTTATTTTGGTAAAATCGTGATGGCAAGAGTTGAAGACACAGGAGCATGAGCTCATCAGCTATTAAATCACTTGGGCCACGCAAAAAGATGGCACAGAGCTTCATGCAAACTTGTCCAATCTACCTAATTTTGATATTCTATCATGGCTCTCTTCCTTCGCCTCCTTTCTTTTTTGTCCCCCCACCTCCATACCACCCCATCCCTTAAAAAAAAAAAAAAAAAATCCTATATCATTAAAATGAATGAAAAAACTCTTAGGACATTTGTATATAATAATCATTTAACTCTTTGCAGTTATTTGCTGGTTCTGTTGTTTTATGATATAGACATATAATGGAATTGCTGAAATACGAAAAATAAATTGCTGGGTAAATTCATTGTTAGTTAATATGAAAAATAAAACTAATAATAGCATTTTAAAAAATGTCTTCACTGGAGGACCTCAAGGGTTAAGAAGCTCAAATAATATGTTTCCTAGTATATCCTGAACAAAATAAAATAAAATAGAAATTGAATCTATTTCTTACACTCAAACTTATAGCCATCGTATGTTAATTTATACTTATAGCCATCGTATGTTAATTTATACTTAATATTCATTACCTCTTTGATCCTGTTAGCAAATCTGTGAAGTAAGAGTGGCGGTCATCACTGCTCCTTACTGAGGTTTATATAACTTGTCTTCACCTCAATCTCTAGTCCAAAACTCCCTCACTAAATACCACCAAAGCCTCCCTTCATTGGATTCTGAAAGCCTGCATTGAACTTGTTATCCAGTGTAGACATACACTAATCATCCCCTCCTCTTACATTATACACATATCCAAAATCAGTTAAGGAATCATAAAATATTGGGGAAGGTATGCAACCAGAAATTTGTTTTGGCTCAAGGCATACACATCAGGGGAAAAAATAACTTACTGAAAATATACTAATCCCTGGATTTCTGAATGATCAAATAAATAAATATAAGAAGGCAGAATAGCAAAACTATTTTCCTTTATCTGAACAAAAATGAAACAAACTCACAACGTCTTTTGAGTTTGCTACTAGATAACTAGAGGGTGGACAAACAAGAGACTATGAAAAACAACAAGGAAGGAATGTCTGCATTTTTACTACATGATAGAATTTTTAGTCAGCATTGTAAGAAAAATTTGCTCTGGCCCTTAATGGGTCTACACTTTGAAAACCAGAATAATGCCTTGATTACTTATATTTCTGTAGTGATGCTGTGATGGTTTATTTAAAAAGGTCAAATAAAAGATGATGAATTGTCTTAGATATAAAATCATTTATTTTTGAAAAACGTGTTGGGTACTCATTACATACACTTCTGAATAAGAAATATAATCTTGCCTACATTCTAATAAAGGTTCAATAGACATTATTCATTAAAATACATAAATCCATTCTGAAAATACTTGGATAATCTTTGATTTCATGTTCATATTCACAAAATATTTAGGAATAAAGGTAAACCTAAATATGCCTTTAGTTTTGGGCAACAATTTATAGTGTAACCTTGAGAATACTTTTTCAGCTTTCTCTGCTGCAAAATATTCATAAAAAGTACTTACTACTCAGGTACGATCTCAGAATTTTCTCTCCATAACAACAAATATATACTAAACTAATGTAAGAAAATTGTTGGTGACTGTGAGGAATTACTATGGTAATAAGATGAACTGAAACACTAAAGGACTCAAAACTGACCTTATTTCTAAAATATACTGGGAAATGCTGAAAAATCATTTCAATATTTTTATTGGTTAAAAATATACTGTGAAAATTTATTTTCTATAAGGATTTAGAGCCAATATATTCTCATTATAATGTTAAAAGAGCTTTAAATAAATCATCTATTTGACCAGCTACTTTATCACTTATAATTATTTAGTATAGGCACTTTTGACAATTATTAAATTTGGTGCTTAACTAACAATGAATTTACCCAAAATCTAGGCCATGTGATGTGACTTTTTAATAAATTAAGTCTAAACGGTATTATTTTCAACTGAAAGTCACATTGCATAAAGGCTACCTGATTCATACATGCAAATCCTACTTTCGGGGATGGTTCATGCCCCAAACACAATGAAGAGTCTTTTGTGAGTTGAAAAGCAAGTGCACCTGCTCCCTTTCCTCAACAATCTGAATGTCTCTGGACTCTTCCCAGAAAGAGAACTGGAATGAATAAGCTCCACACATCAACTAGAATCATTCCTGCCCAAAATATTCAGTGCCCCTGAATTTGGCTGTGGCTCCAAATAAGAGGTGAATTAGCGCTCTGGCTCTCTATTTACTAGGCATGTAAAAATGCTGAAACTAGTTGTTGGACAATGGAGTAGCTTTGCCCTCTCTTGGCCCAAGAATCTGTGGAGCCAATTCATACTGATCAGCTAAAGTTAGTGACTTTGGATATGCAGGAATTAAATTCTTTTGCCACTGAAGAACCTTCACTTCTCCTTTGCTAACTTGCAGAATAGACCTGTCAGCCAGGGAGAACGGATGTTTCTGCGCCACGTGGCATTTTAAAACTTCCTTCTCGGCAGCTGGAAGAAACAAGGGAATTTCCTCAAAGTATCCCTGCAGCTGCAGAATTTGGAAGACCCTGAAAGTAAGAATATGCGGGCTGGTGGTGATCTCAGAGGCAACCCTTTGGACGGAACTTCATATATTTAGAGGATTTGAAACAAAAACTTTTCCTCTACTACAGCCTGCCGGGAAATCAGTATCCTTAATGATTGGATAACAGAGCAAATTTACAATCAAAGGCCGGTAAGCTTACAGGACACTCCTTGGAGCTTCCAACCAACTTATTTTATAATTCATATAGAATTATCTAGAGCAGTCTTGTATTAATATATAAGAATATAAACATTACATATTTAATATAGATATATATTAAATATAAAAAAACAATTTTACAGACAAATCTATCACAAGCAAGCCATTTTAGCTCCTGTCTATTGTATAATTCATTACTTTAGAGTTTGGTTACCACAAATGTGCTTTCAAAGAGACTCTTAACAATTATTATCTCCATAGAACCATAAAATGATAGCAGAGTAGATTTCTTAGAAAGTAATACTAAAAGATTTCTAAGGATAGGACAGTTTACCAATCTCCTTCCTGCATAATTCTGACAAATTTAGAAAGCTTAGAAAAATTTCTCCACTATCCTTGGTCTTCATCTGCTATCCTTTCTCTAAGTTCTTGGCTTATGTTTCTAGCAGAAGTTATAGTACTAGGACTGTACTAAATTACTTTTTAAATTTACTATGTTAGAATCATACAAATCTATAAATACCAATTAATGAAAATGTCATTTTGTATGTACATGGGAATAGAGGTACTGATGTTCTCATTTTTATAAAATTTTAAGACCTTTAAAGACCTTGCTTTTGTAGTATATCTAGGCCTTCAACACATTTTTTTTAATGGTGAACTATGACCTAGAGTGAAACTCAGCCATATTTGGAAAATACATGGAAAGTTCTTAGCACCAAAGTGCTTGTGGGTAGCGACACTACAGTATGTGGAAAACATCCATTCCTACCAAGCATTAGAAATGGTTATCAGTCTTTCATTCCTTTTATCTTCTTTTCAACTCAACTAAGTATTTCTTCACATGGCTTTGTTCAGACTTTCTAAAACCCTTTAGTTTACTTGCTTAACTGAATCAGAGGGCTGGATGGTGAGGCCACGACTTCCCAATAAGATTTAATTATGAGTGCAGATATGAACAAGATTTAGACTATTAAGCCTTGTACTTCAAAAAAACTTTTAACATATTTTGCCTTTAAATCTTTTATCACCTGCAAAAATTAATTAAGTGCAGATGTAGCAGGTTCTCTTTGGATGCCAGGGTTCATTTCCTGTCTATGCTTTGTCAGACAACCTATTACACCTCCTCGTGAACTAGAGGCAAACTGAAAACGGGGCTCATAAATCACCAGTCAGCTCTCTTTCACCCTTTCCTTGGTTGGCCTTTTTGTATGGGGCAGATCTCCAGCTCATTATTCATGAATATACTATAGACAACATGCCAAGTGTCATCTGCATTTAAACAAACCATTTGTTAAGCAAATTATAACTCTATTGTGTAAGAATGCATCATGTTAAAATGCAAGACTAATCTAATGCCTCTGACTTTTAATCACTCAGGGTTCCTGCCGGGAGTCATCCCAAACTGGCATACATGATCTCAGATCTTTTCAGAAAGAATGACATGCTGACTTGTTTTAATAATACCACTGTTGCACAACAAGCAACATGATTGCTAACCGGGGGAAATGGCCAATTGGTTACCAAAGCAACAGCATTCTTTCCAGCACATCTGACTATTAAAAGTCTATATTCTGTAGGGAAAAGTAAATTCAGGTTCTGTTGGGTTATTTTAACTGTGGAAGTATCAATTCATTTAAGGATCATAAAAGTTGCCCTGATCTGCGCCTTCTTCTCATTAAATTGCAGTTAACACCATGAAAGTGAAACGTGAATGTTTATGGTTTCAGAACTGCAATCTTGAATTTAATGAGTTTCCACATTCAAAGGAAACACACCCGTCAGTTGTTTGCAAGTGCTAAAAGCAGGACAACCTAACAGAGAAATACAAATACACTCCCTTTTATCTAGAGTCACTGAAAATGCAGCTCTGGCCAGGAATACATACCAGATCTACAATCAATATCTTGCTTATATTTAGTTGGTCTCTCAAGTATTTGGCGGTAATTGCAACTGAATTAAAAAAGCAGAACCCCCTGTGGAATAGAGAAGAACAGAGAAATAAGAAAGCAAATCAGCCAGGAAAACCATTATAAATAATGTTCAGAGCATTTTTTAAAATGCTATATGATCTCTGAAGCCATAAATCTGCTTCTGGGAGTACCTTGCAAGATTTTTCAGTCCATCTGCTAACAATTAGAGGCTTCAGAGACATGCACAGGGCAGGTGACCGCCAGGAACCGTGGTGCTTAGAGATGGGCAACAGTCCCTGGTACTTACATGGCTGTGGATTCTTCAGCATGATGGCCTGGGGGCCTTACAACAGCAAACCCATTCTGTAAAAATAAGACAGGTTTTCAATGCTCAGATATGGGAGGATTGCCTGGATCTCCATGTACTACAGAGCATCAGGTGTGCACAAAAAAATTCAAGTCTCTAAGAGGCCTTCAGAGCTTCTTTTCTTGACCCCACTGCCTTTTTTGAGAATGAACAGAAACAATATATATGATAACATTTTATCAGATCATGTCTCAAAAAGAAGGCTCCTACAGAGCAAGGGGGAAGAACAGGGATTCAGGAGTTGTACCTAGCTGGCAAATATATATATCAGCTGTTATACTAGCATGATTCATTCTCAAGAACAACTTCTTATTTTATGAAAACAACATCCTACAGAGGAAGAAGAAATTCACTTTGGTGCAGGTTTGGGTTAAAATTTGGAAAGACCAGGGAAGATCCAAAGTGAAAATTCTTTAGCTGGATTCTCTTAATGGTTAGTTCCACTCCATTGTCAGCAAAATGATAAATTTATACTCACACACTCACATACACACAAAAGAAACACAGAAAGGTGAAAAAGAGAACAATGGAAGGCCCATATTTCTTCCAGTCTATAAATTTAGCTTGGATGACTGCCAAGACTTGCAACTTTATTGGATTCCCTAAGTCAATTTTTAGCCCATGTTCTGGAATTTTATAAAGAATTCCAGGGCTGAGTAGCAATCAGATCTATCCATGATCAAGGAATGCCTTAACCCCCAGATTAGTTGGAATGCATCACGGAAAGCTGAAGTAACTCCAGCATGAAGACAAGGAACTATAAATCCTTATAAAGCCAGCATGCTCAGAAAAGTTGGGTTGCTTGACATGAAAAAAAATCATTCATCAGATGGTTCACACCACCTTTCACTTAACTCTTAAGATCAAGTCCTCCTAAGATCAAGATTCAAGTAACATACACAAAGATATTTCTTTAATATAGAAACCTAAAACTTTTGAAATAATTTTAATATACCCCAGGGGTATTTTTTTCCCACATCTTACTATAAGCATAAAGATAATATCAAGAAAAAGAATCTATTCCCTAGGACTTTAAATATAAATAAATTTTTCTAGGATGTTATGGTAACCAACATACAATGATTAATTTGTTACACATTTTGATGAGCATATACATAATGATAATCTCAGAAGCAAACTAGAAGTCAAATAACACAATACCAATTTTAAATGTGGGAATGGTGATAAACATATTTCCTATAACAGTTCTTAAGATACTATCTTTCTGGCAATAAAAGACTAATATGAGAGAAACTATTTAATGAACCACACAAGACCAAACAGACTGAAATTTTAAGATTGAAGAGTGACACTTTAGTGTGCTATAGGAATTCTGAGGATAGATTATTAAGTAAAGATTATGATAGGTGCAATATATCTTACTAGGAAGGCAACAGGATGAAATAAATATAATACAAGGCAATATAATTAGCATGTAATGAATTTCTGTAATTGGATTCATAATACTAATGATCTTTTACAATTCAATTAAAACAAATATGCTTTAAAAAAAAACTACTATGTTTTACAGGGAAAGGGCATGGAGAGACAATACAAAGAAGAAAAAATTCCAGTGATCAATAACTATAAGAAAAAATATTCAACGAAATTAGTAATTAAACAAAAGAAGATGAAAAGCCTAATGAAAAAACACTTTTCCACCCAGGAAATTGGATTTTTTTTTCAATACTCTATGCTAACAATGCAACGGTACTTCATAACTCACAAATGTTGCCCAGGAGAAGATAATTAATTAAAGCATTCCTGGAAAATAATCCATCTCTATATATATTTAGAGCCTTTAAAAAACATTTACCATTTCAATTACTAATATACTTAAAGGATTTTTGCCTTTAAAAAACATTTACCCTTTCAATTACTAATATACTTAAAGGATTTTTGCCCTGAAAGTGTTACTATGCTTGTAGGCAAGCATTTATATAAAAGATGTTTTGTTTACAATAGGAAAAATGGAAATTACGTAAGTTAGCTAATACTAGGAGAATGTGTAAGCAAATTATGGTAAATCTATACCATGGAATATTAGTCAGCCATTAAAATTTTGTTATTATAAATACTGAGTAGAACAGAAAGAAATCAACTTTGGAAGTATTAGTGTTAAAAAATAACAGACACATTATGATATCGCTGAGTGATAGTATTGCATGGTTATTTTAAATTTATAATTTCATATTTTTGAAAATGGTTTTATAATAAACACTAATTATTTCATAATGAAAATGTAACACAAAGAGAAAGTTGAAACACACATTTGAATTGGTCTTATAGGAAGAGCTGTGGTCATAAAGGTAGAAAAAAATTTTAAAGGATATTCTGGGCAGGAGGGAAAAGTATGATATGGCTTGGACGAAAGGATTTTAGAAAGTATTATTTACGAATTTTATACTGTATACCAACTGGAATTTAAAGAATAACTTTAAAAAATAAAGAATTTATTTTAAAAAATCAACCTGAATAGAAATCATGTTAAGGAACAACATGGAAGTAAAATCACATAAATAATTAGCTAGTTTATAGAGGGAAAAAAGTCAAATAGTATTTGATTTCTATTTTTCTCCTCTCTCTTACAGCCAAATTCCTTGAGAAAGGAGTGTGCCTTTCACTTTATAATTTTCCAAAGTAACCTCCACCATTCTGCTAAACTGCTTCTAAAACTGCTTCATCTGGGGTTGAAAATTATCTTCTTGCAATAACAAATCTTTTCCAGGTCATTATGATTATGATCCACCCAAAGCTTCCACTGTGCTCTCATTAATGGCAAACACTCCTACATTTTCCCTGTCTTTTCTGAGTGTGCCCCCCTTTCCACAGCCAAAGCCTTGAAGGGGGCTGCTTCTTCCACAGTTTGCTCAAGTGGTAGCTGCTTCCTCTCTCACACCATGCAAGCCTGCATTCATCAAAGACGGAACTGGTGTACTCCTTGTGTCTCACTGATGCTTTGAAAGCCCCTCCACAATACTTTCTTGTAAGAAAGGATTAGATCACACCCAGAGAGAAAAGATAAACACAGTAAGATAACTGAGACTGAGTCCTCAAGCAGTCTAACTCCTTTTGCCTCCTGTTACACTAGAGGAAATGTTAGTCCTCCTAAGATCAATTTTACCACCTGCAGTTAGGATCCCATCCCCTCCTACTTTTCCACCATCATTTACGTTATGTTTTTCTCACTGACATACTAAATTCATATTAAAATTCCAAATTATATATATATTTCATTCAGATTTAAATAAGCTCATTTTCATCATCTTGAAAATAAAAAAAATATATATATCAAAACAATACAGATATATACATATGTACAATACACTATGTGCCTCTATCCTTAATCCCACTGATCCCTCCAATTTCAACACTTTTCTTCCCCTTTAGCAAGCAAAATTCTTGAAATGGTGGTCTACCTTGCTGTCTCCTTTGGCCTCACCTCTGCCTCAATCAATAACTTATCTCTAATTTATCTTCCACTTTCTTAGTCCATTAAAGAAGTTTTTACTAAGGTCACCAATGGCCTCCAAGTCACTAATTTCAAAGATCTTTTTATGCTCTCAGACTATGGGGCCCCTTGTCAACTTTAAACACTCTGGGCTACATCTTCATTTTAAAAACACTCTAAAAAAATAAATAAATAAAAATAAAAATAAAAACACTCTCTTCTCTTGGTTTCTGTGATTTCATGCTCCTCTTGGTTTCTGTGATTTCATGCTCCACTGGTTTATTTATCTCTTTCCACTTCCTAATCAGTCTCCCTTGAATACTCCTACTCCTCAGCTTGCTCATCAAATATTAAAATTATTCATGACCCAGTCTTAGACTTCTCTTTCTCTTCTTTCCACACTTGCTTCCGAGGCAATGCCATCACTCTTGTGGATTCAATTACCACTCATCATCAGATACTTCACAGATTTCTATTTCTAAGATAAGCCCTCCACTGAGCACTGGACCAAAATTATTAGCCCACCTACTCAATATCTTCACTTAAATATTCACTTGGAAGTTCACTTCAAATTTAATATATCCAAAATCAAACTTCTGATCTTCTCCCAGCCTTCTCTAACTTACCAATGATTCATCCAGTGGCTCACGTCAGAGACCCATGAGTTATCCTTAATGGCTCCCTCTCCCTAACCTTCCTCCATTTCATTTTATTTTATTTATTTAGTTATTTTTTCATGACCAATTCCTGTTGATCGGATTCTAAATATCACTCAAATCCATCTACTGAAGTCTACATCCACTCCTTGAGTATTTTGCCTTTTGAAGTTCTGCTTTTCTATTATTCCTCCAGTAATTATTCTTAGTGATTTCAATACCATACATACAGACACTCCCTTCAGTATCTTGATATTTCAGTTCTGATTCCTTGTCTTCAATGATTCTGTCTTCCACTTTTAGTCATATTCCTAGACCTTGCCATTATCAGTAAGACATCTATTCCATAATGTCAAACATCCTATTCTCTTACTATCCTATTTTCCAGTTAATGCCCCAACTACAACCAAGACTTCCAATTCATTGACCTTATTGAACTTTTGCTATCCATCACTCATCCCTATCACCATATTCCTTCCCTCCTTATCTGATTAGACTTCAGGGTCCATCACCGTATTCACTTCCTTGCATATACTTTCAGATATCTTGTACTTTTCTCCCCCTAATATATTCCCCTGGTATATTAGTGCACTCAGGCTACTATAACAAAGTACCACAGGCTGGGTGACTTCAACAACAAAAATTTACTTTTCTAGTTCTGGAGGCTGAGATTAAGGTCCGAAGTTGAGATTAAGGTTTGGCAGAGTTGGGTTTGTGTTAAAAGCACTCTTCTCAGCCTGCAAATATCTGTCTTTTTCCTAGGGTCCTTATATGGCCTTTCTTCTGAGTGTACACACACAAGGCTAGGGAATGAGAGAATTCTAGTATCTCGTCCCCTTTTTATAAGAGCATTAGTCCTATCAGATTAGGGTCATACCCCTATGACTTC